ATCAGGTCAAGGAGAAAATACTGCAAATAGCCAGAAAGAAATCAAATATCAAAAAGCCGCAATCAGGGTTACAGAGCACTTGGCAGCTTCTGCATTAAAGGGCAGGAGGGCTTAGAATATGATATTCTGGAAGTCAAAGGAGCTTGGATTACAACCAAGAATCAGCTACCCAGCAAAACTAAGCATAATTCTTCAAGGGAAAAATGGAAATTCAGTGAAATAGAGGACCTTCAAACATTCTTGATGAAAAGACCAGAGGTAAACAGAAAATTTGACTTTCAAGTACAAAACTCAAGAGAAGCATAAAAAGGTAAACAAGAAAGAAAAAAACACATTATTCTATAAGGTAAAACCATTTACACCCTTGTGTGAGAAGATGATACTTGTAACTCTTAAGATCTGTATCTCCATTAGGGCCTTAGAAGGAGTATACATAGACAGAGGTTGTGGGAATATGGGATGTTATTAAAAAATATTAAGGAGTAGAAAGATGATCATGCTGGGAAAAGAGAGGTAGAGTGGGGTAAATTATATCACATGAAGAAGTGCAAAAGACATTACAGTGAAAGGAAAGAAGGGAGGGTGTGAACATTGTTTGAACTTTACTCTCATTAGATTTGGTTCAAAGAGGGAACAACATGCACATGCAGTTGGATATAGAAATCTCTGTATCTTACCCTATAGGGAATCAGGACAGAAAAGAGGTAAAGAAAAAAAAAGTTGGGATGGGTCTGACAGAAGGGATAGCAGACTAAGTAAGGCAATGGTCAGAAGCAACACACTTGTGAGGAGAGACACAGTGAAAGGAAAGAAGTATAAATGGGAAAATAGGAAGGAGAGAAATACACAGTAATCATAAATGTGAATAGAATGAACTCATAAAATGGAAGGGGATAATGGAGTGGATTAAAAATCATAATCCTACAATATGTTGTTTACAAGAAATGCATTTGAAGCAGAGAGAAACACACAAAGTAAAAGTAAAAGGCTGGAGCAGAATACATTATGCTTTAGCTGGAATTAAAAAAAAATAGATATGATAGACCTCTGGAGAAAATTGAATGGGAATAGAAAAGAATATACTTTACTCTCAGCAGTACCTGGCACCTACACGCGAGCGCACGCACGCACACACACACACACACAAAATGACCAGATATTAGGAAATGAACTCCTCACAATCAAATGCAGAAAGGCAGAAATATTAAATGCATTCTTTTCACATCATGATGAAACAAGAATTGTATTTAACAAAGGCCATGAAAAGTTAGATTAAAAATTAATTGGAAACTAAATAATCTAATCTTAAAGAATGAGTGAGTCAAAGAGCAAATCATAGAAACAATAATTTCATTAAAGAGAATGACAACAACGAGACAACATACCAAAATTTATGGGATGAAGCCAAAGCAGTACTTAGGGAAATGTTTATATCTCTAAATGTTTTCCTCAATGAAACAGAGAAAAAGCTGATTAATGAATCTGACATGCAACTAAAAAAGCCAGAAAAAAAAATTAAAAATCTTCAATTAAACACCAAATTGGAAATCCTAAAAATCAAAGGAGAGATTAGTGAAACTGAAAGTAAGAAAATCATTGAACTAACAAATAAAACTAAGAGCTGGTTCTAGTGAAAAAAAAACCCAATAAAATAGATAAGCCAGTGGTTATTTTGATTTAAAAAAATAGAAAGAGGACAAACATCCAGTATCAAAAATGAAAAGAATGAATTCACCACCAAAAAGAAAGTAAAGCAGCAATCAAAAGCTATTTTGCACAATTGTATGCCAAGAAATCTGACAATCTAATGAAATAGATGAATATTTATAAAAATATCAATTGCCTAAATTAAAAGAAGAGGAAATTAAAATCCTTAAATAATCCCATTTTAGGGGAAAAAGATGAATAAGCCATCAATGAACTCCCTGAGGGGAAATAAAAATCCCAGGGCCAAATGGATTCACAAATAAGTTCAAGCAAACATTTTAAGAATCTGATACTATAAAAACTAGTTGGGAAAATAGGTATAGAAGGAATATTGCTGAGTTCTTTAAAAAAAAAAAAACAACAAAACTAGGCAATGGGGTTAAGTGACTTCCCCAGGATCACACAACTAGTAAGTATCAAGTGTCTGAGGCCAGATTTGAACTCAGGTTTTCCTGACTGCAGAGCTGGTGCTCTATCTACCGTACCACCTAGCTGCACCATGCTGAGTTCTTCTTATGACACAAATATAGTGTTGATATCCAAACCAGGAAAAGCCAAAATAGAGAAAGAAAACAATAAACCAATTTCCCTAAAAAATAGTGTTGGAAAAATTTTTAAATAAAATATTAGCAAGCGGATTACAGCAATATATCACCAAGATGATACACTGTGAACATATAAAATTTATACCAGGAATGCAGGGCTGGTTCAGTGTTAGGAAAACTGTCAGCATGATTGACTATATCAATAACACAACTAACAAAAATCATTTGATTATCTGTATAGATGCAGAAAAAGCTTTTGACAAAATACAATACACATTCCTATTGAAAATATTAGAGACCATAGGAATAGAAGGACCTTTCCTTAAAATGATAGTAGTATCTATTTAAACAATCAGCAAGCTTTGTCTAAAATGAGGATAAGCTAGAAGCCTTTTCAATAAGATCAGGGGTGAAGCAAGGATGACCATTACACCACTATTATTCAATATTGTACTAGAAATGTTAGTTAGTTTTAGCAATAAAAGAAGAAAGAGAAGTTAAAGGAATTAGAATAGGCAGTCAGGAAACAAAATATCACTTTTTGTAGATGATATGATGATATACTTAGAGAATACTAGAGAATGAAGTAAAAAACTAGCTGAAATAATTAACAACTTTAGTAAAGCTGCAGGATACAAAATAAACCCACATAAATCATCAGCATCTCTATATATTACCAAAAAAGCTCAGCAGTAAGAGATAGGAAGAGAAATTCCATTTAAATAACTCTACATAATATAAAATACTTAAGAGCCTACTGCCAAGAAAAACACAGGAACTGTATGAACACAATTACAAAACACTTTTCACACAAATAAATTTGCTTATGGGTAGGCTGAGCCAACATAATAAAGATGAAAATTGTACCTAAATTAATTTCCTTATTCAGTGCCATACCAATAAAATTACCAAAACATTATTTTATAGAGTTAGAAAAAATCCTAACAAAATTCATCAGGAAGAGCAAAAGGCCAAGAATATCAAGAGAATTAATGAAAAGAAATATGAAGGAAGGTGACATACCTGTACTGGATCTCAAATTGAATTATAAAGTGGTCATCATCAAAACTATGTAGTACTGGCTAAGAAATAGAGTGGTGGATCAATGGAATAGCTTAGGTACACAAGACTCAGTAGTCAATAACCATAGCAATGTAATGTTTAATAAACCCAAAGACCCCAGCTTTTGCAAAGAATTCACTATTTGACCAAAACTGCTGGGAAAACTAGAAAATAGTATGGCAGAAACTAGGTATAGACCAACACCTTACACTGTATACCAAGATAAGACCAAAATGGGACATGATTTAAACATAAAGGGTGATATAAGCATATCAGGAGACCAAGGAATAATTTACCTATCAGATCTATGGAGAAGGGATGGATTTATGACAAAACAAGAGATAGAGAGCATTACTAGATATAAAATGGGCAATTTTGATTATATTCAACTAAAAAGCTTTGCACCAACAAAAGCAATGCAACCAATATTAGAAGGAGAGCAGAGAGTTGGACACATTTGTTATTTACAGAAAGTTTCCCTGATAAAGCCTAATTTCTCAAATACATAGAAAATTGATTAAAATTTATAAAAATACAAATTATTCCCCAATTGATAAATGGCCAAAGGATATGAACAGGCAGTTTTCAGCTGAAGAAATCAAAGCTATCTATAGTCATATGAAAATATGCTCAAAATCACTATTGATTAGAGAAATGCAAATTAAAACAACTCTGAGATGTCACCTTGCACCTATCAAACTCGCTAATATGACAGAAAAGAAAAATAATAAATGTTGGAGGAGATTTGAAAAAATTTGGACACTAAGGCACTGTTGGTAGAGTTGTGAACTGATCCAACCATTCTAGAGAACAATTTGGAACTATTCATGAAGGACAATGACAATGTCCATACCCTTTGATACAGCAATATTTTGATTAGGACTGTATTCCAAAAAGATTTAAAAAAGGGGAAAGGACCTATTTGTACAAAATATTTATAGCAGTTCTTTTTGTTGTGGCAAGGAATTGGAAATTGAGGGGATGCTCACCAACTGGAGAATGTCTGAATGAAGTATGTTGTATGATTGTAGTGGAATATTATTACTCTGCTATAAGAAATGATGAGTAGGTTGATTTCATGAAAACCTGAAAGACCTATGAACTGATACAAAGTGAAGTGAGAAGAACCAGGAGAACATTGTACATGGTAGCAACAATATTGTATGATGATTAACTGTGAATGACTTAGGTATTCTCAGCAATGCAATCATCCAAGACAATTCCAAAGGACTCATGATGGAAAATATTATCTACCTGTAAAAAATAACTGCTTACTATTTTCATTTTATGTATTTTCTTTCTTTTTTTTTCTTTTGGGTCTGTGTCTTCTTTCACAACATGACCAATATGGTAATAAGTTTGCATAACTGGACATGTATAACATATCAAATTTCTTACTGTCTCAGGGTGGGTGGGAGATGAAGGAGAGGATTGAGATTATGAGGAGAATCGGATTGTGCCTTTGCTTTTAGAAGTATAAGTGCCAGATTCTTCTCATCCAGTGCTTAGCACAGAGCCTAGCACATAGTAAGTACTTAATAAATGTTTATTGATTGAGTAATCTAAAGGCTTGACTTGCTAACCTTTAATTGCTACAATTTTACTCTCCCCCCCTCCCCCCACCACTGTTTTATATACAAGACAACATGGCAGCCACTAATCTTTGTTTCATTCATGTTAGTGCAGGTAGAACTTTGGGGAAAGGTTTGGATTTCTGAAGAGGAAGGACAATGTCTTTCTTTGGAGGTAACCAATATAATGAAG